ATGGATTTCAAACTCTCGATTGTAAAAGTGCCTCATACTAATTGGGTAATCGACGCTTTCTAAGATCTACACAGCCAAGGGGCAATTATAAATGGTTTGGACAGAGCAGGACTGTGCCATAATTAGCCGTTATTAACCAGGCTATCTCTGACTCGTCTGTAACAATAAATGAACAATAATAACACAAGCTGAAATGATTATTGACATTTTAGTCATTTTTAGACAAATAGTTTTAGATTTGCCATTCGTTTTTATTTTTTTTTTTTGAATGTTTGTAATTAAATTTCAACTGCTTCTTGTACACTAACAGTAAAGTTTTTCCGTGATTACTTGTTGAACCGTCGGAATCGGTATTGAAAAAAAGGGCAAATAACTCTAAATAAATCATGATATAGGAATATAATGAACAACTGGTTCGCATCGTCTCTAGCCACGGTCCGGAGTCCGCATAAATGGGAGAGGATCGTACATTTTGGCCGTGGTTCGCGACGATAAATATCCGCGAGCAGAGGTTACTTGCGGAACTCGCGGATATTTATCGCACGCGTATAATACTTGGTTTACAGTATTTATATTGATATTATGGTGCATAGAAATATAACGGAAACCTCTTGTGTGGAATTAATTGTTAACAATATTTAATAGCAGCAGTCTCAACACCCTCAATTAAAATGCCATAAATGAATCCTTGCCAAAATTTCTGCTTATACAATATACAATGTACCTAAAGGAAACCTTTGTTTGAGATAAAAACTTGTATACATATTTCGTTAAAAAAGGTTTTGGCTATCAAATTTATCTAAATTTTATGCCAGTATATTCTTGTAAGTAATTGGAACAGCTCTCAGCATTTCAAAATAATTTACAAAAATGTTATTTTTCAAACAAAGATCTGTGTATTCATGATCATTTCTCTGTTTCAGCAAAGATAAGGAGACTGTATGACATTGCTAACATTTTAGCAACTTTAGACCTTATCAGGAAAATCCGCATCACCGACATCAGGGACAGAAAACCTACCTACCAGTATATAGGGCCAGATCTGGAGCAAGTGCATGAATTAAATGGTTTGTAATATTCAAAGTTCAAAGAATTGACAAGATTGATGCTTTTGCAAAAAGCACATTTTTGTGTACTATATGTACAAGATATTGAATTCAGTTCTTTGAAATTAGAAGGGACTAGATAATATACAAATAGCTTATTATCCCCCACCTCTAGGATATGGAAAGTGTTGTCAAAATCCACAGGAAAAAAATATTGGAAGCAAGGTATATTCTTCTGAGAGAAAAAAGAATATTCTTACTGAGATGAAAGAAAATTGTGAGCCTCAAAGTATGAAACTTGCGAAGTTGGGGACCCACATACCCTTAAGATTTAAATATTATTTTAAACCCTGGACTCTTCAGTTCATCACAAAATATAAATTCCTACTGTGAAAACTTGATATCTCAATCTCAATGAGACTTGGAAAAGTTTAGATATCCAAGGATTTGAGATATTTAGGTTCTAATACTTCAAGAATATGGGGTTGGAACTTTCAAATCACTTTGAAATATTGTTGGTATTCGAGATGTTATTGTTACATACATCAAACTGTATTTTTAAAAATTTAGCAATTGAGTATAAGCTTTATTAATTTGAAAAGCTTATATTATACCACAAAATGAAGAATTTTCATGTACATCTTCCTGGGGAATATATCAAAACCTCGTGTCTTGTTCATGTATTAATGAATTTTTCTCAATAATCATCTTTGATTTTCTTGCAGTATGTTACCATGATGGATATCATCGGCCGACTTCTAGACATTCCATGCTTGACTGTGTCAAGAACCAGCAAAGTATGTATCAGTTTTATATCTTACGTTACATGTTACAGTGGTCAGAGAGAGAGAGAGAATGAGAGACAAACAAATCTCTTGTATGGGACAACTATCTCTATATACCTCCACATTAATATGATCAACAAATTCATGTTTTGTCATTTCTTAAATTTCCTTATATTTGTTTTGTATTTTTTTTTTCTCTTCTCTATGTGTTACACTGGACTGGATTTTCTACTTGATATATGCATTATGTTTCACTTAAAAAAATAAGTCAGCCCTTTCTAGTTTGCTCTTGTCAGCAAGTGGACTTGTAGCAGATTAGCATGTGTCTCTCTCCCAGTTTGTATTAGGGATCGGATATTGAGGGCAAAAGTTTTGCTTTGTTGTTCAATCAATTGGTATAGAATGAAGCATTTTTCGATCTTTGCAGTGTCTGAAATTCTATCAACACATGGACATCGACCTATTAAACCAAATGATTGCAAAGGTAGTGTTTCTGAATGTATAAAATTGCAAAATTGAAGTTGGCATAGTCTTTCCTATAAACCTAGATAAATCATTTTCTTTTTGGTAGTCCCATCTTCTTTCAAAATGTGAAGAACATGAAATTTGTGTCAGATCATCAATCCATTACAGGCTTTATCCATACTCTCATATTTTTCCCTTCTTTGGAATATATATTATTCTTAGTACCTTTTAGGTCATAAATCTGGATTTCTGTCTTGCTTTTTCTAAAGTTCTTAAGGAATATATTCTATGGTTTTCTATTGAATATTTCAAATAATTTTAGTTTCTTATGAAATTATCAGAACCTAAAGTTTTTGACAAAAACATAGTCATTTGCCTAGATAAGGATTGTTGTTCATTGATGGGAAGAAATAAAGTGAACTTACTCTGTTGATGTTTACATCATATGAGGTCTTGTTTCATTGAGGGGGGGGGGTATCTCAAAACATCATAAAGGATATACAATAAATTCTGAAAGAAACTATTCAAATCTTCAAATAAATGTTAAAAAATTTAAACTACAACAGTAAATCTTTTAATTGCCAAATGAATAGATAATATATTACAACTGAGTATTTCCTTAAAATTCCAGTATGTGAAGATTTCAGTTTAATTTCCTTACAAATAGAAAACATTGTAATGTAAATATTTTCAGAATTTTTCTGTAAAACCCCTGTTTATTGTTTTGCTGTCTTTTTTCAGGACTAGGGGACGGGGCTCCTAGGAAGAACTCCATGCCCAGACATTCCTCTTTTGAGCAGATCTGCCAGGTCGCGGAGAAGGAACGAGACAAGTTGTACGCCTCAATGTCACAGCCATCAAGTCCAACCGAGAAACACAGCTTTGATGGTAAGATTTGCTCTTAACTGTCTTTGTTATATTTCCTCCCAATGGTGAAGAGGACGAATTAAGTATCTGTGGAAATGACTGAAAAAATAAAGGGGGTTTAAGGTGATTAAACAAGATAGACTTTATGGTCATTAAACACAAATTGGTCATTTCGAACGAAATATAGGGTCTAGAAATTTAACTTTGCCAGCAATTCATAAAGGTTTACATTTATTCATGGACATCTAGCTTATTGTCAGAAAATAATAAGCTCTTATGAAAGTCAAAAAAGATTTGACAATAACTTTTAGGCAGTAGTGTAATGGAACCAATACTTGTGTACTAGTACCAGTCAGCAGCATTTTTTTAAGTCCATCAAAAACGGAAAATCATTAATTTGAAATTTAATGGCATCATGTACTTTCATTCTTACATATGAAATGAAAAAAGCATTTATTTTAAGTGATTTTTTCCACAAAGTCATCCGTTGATTAATATATAGAATCAAATTCTTGATCTGATGCCTTTTTAAATAACACCCAAGATATACTTTCTTTTTTTGTGAATGGGGGGGATATATTTTTTAATTACATTTTTAGCTCACCTCAACGAAGTTGGGGGAGCTTATGTAATACCCTCGGCGTCGGTGTCGGCGTCGGCGTCCCAGGTTAAGGTTAAGTTTTTTGGAGCAGTTTTCTTTTTAAGTACTTCTATGTCCTATATTGATTAGACATGCATGGAAGATGGTTCTAGTGTGTTTCACTGTACCAGTCAAAGTTTCAGATGCTGCAATTTCAGCAAAGGAATGACCAGGTTCAAGTTTTTGGAGCAGGTTAACATTTTTGGTGCAGTTTTTGGTGTAGGTTTCATTTCCAAGTAACTATAATCCCTATGTCGACCAAACTTGCATGGATGATACTGTAAACGTATTATATTTGGCTGTGTATTCTTTTTAGCGCCTTTCGCGGAAAGCAGCCTCCGCTAAATCAAGTACATCGCTAAATGCTTTGTGTATAAAGGTTTATGTAGAGCACATTCAAAAAGCGCTAAATCAAATCTATGCCAACTTCTTGAAAATTCAATTTCCGCGAAATATCGTACACGCCAAATATAATACATGTACAGTATATCAAATGATGGATACTACCGGGCTTGATTCGGATGCTGAATCTGACCTACATTTTCCGGTTGAGTGAACAGGTTAAAGTTTTTGGTGTAGGTTTCATTTCCAAGTAACTTTAAGCCCTATGTTAACCAAACTTGCATGGATGATACATCTAAGGATGGATACTACCGGGCTTGCTTCGGATGCTGAATCTGACCTTCATTTTCCGGTTGAGTTAACAGGTTAAAGTTTTTGGTGCAGGTTTCATTTCCAAGTAACTATGAGCCTTATGTTGACCAAACTTGCATGTATGATACATCTAAGGATGGATACTACCTGGCTTGCTTCGGATGCTGAATCTGACCTACATTTTCCGGTTGAGTGAACAGGTTAAAGTTTTTGGTGCAGGTTTCATTTCCAAGTAACTATGAGCCCTATGTTGACCAAACTTGCATGTATGATACATCTTAGGATGGATACTACCTGGCTTGCTTCGGATGCTGAATCTGACCTTCATTTTCAGGTTGAGTGAACAGGTTAAAGTTTTTAATGTAGGTTTCATTTCCAAGTAACTATGAGCCTTATGTTGACCAAACTTGCATGGATGATACATCTAAGGATGGATACTACCTGGCTTGCTTCGGATGCTGAATCTGACCTTCATTTTCCGGTTGAGTGAACAGGTTAAAGTTTTTGGTGCAGGTTTCATTTCCAAGTAACTTTAAGCCCTATATTGACCAAACTTGCATGGATGATACATCTAAGGATGGATACTACCTGGCTTGCTTCGGATGCTGAATCTGACCTACATTTTCCGGTTGAGTGAACAGATTAAAGTTTTTGGTGCAGGTTTCATTTCCAAGTAACTTTAAGCCCTATGTTGACCAAACTTGCATGGATGATACATCTAAGGATGGATACTACCTGGCTTGCTTCGGATGCTGAATCTGACCTACATTTTCCGGTTGAGTTAACAGGTTAAAGTTTTTGGTGCATGTTTCATTTCCAAGTAACTATGAGCCCTATGTTGACCAAACTTGCATGTATGTTACATCTAAGGATGCATACTACCGGGCTTGCTTCGAATGCTGAATCTGACCTACATTTTCTGGATGAGTGAACAGGTTAAAGTTTTTGGTGCATGTTTCATTTGCAAGTAACTATAAGCCCTATGTTGACCAAACTTGCATGGATGATACATCTAAGGATGCACACTACTGGGCTTGCTTCGGATGCTGAATCTGACCTACATTTTCCGGTTGAGTGAACAGGTTCAAGTTTTCATCAAGAGAAGAAAATTCTCAAATCTGCTTCAGATGCTGGATTTTGATTACATTTTCATGAAGAAGAACTAGTTTAGATTTTTTATGTAGGTCTATTTCAAAGTATCAGATCAAAATTGCTTAAATATTTTCATTTTTGGAATGTACACTTTTTGTTGGTCTATTTCAAAGTATCAGATCAAAATTGCTTAAATATTTTCATTTTTGGAATGTACACTTTTTGTTGGTTAATTGTGTGACTTTGCCTTACTTAAAGACAACATTCGTTGAGGTGAGCTCTGTAATCTCTGATTACCTATGTTTACCCTTGAAATACTGTAATTTATTCATTGAATAAAAATGATATCCTGTCACAGTGTGAAAGGATATCAAAATGATATCCTGTCACAGTGTGACGAATATCAGAAGTGCGGGAAAACTCTCGATTTCCCTTCCCATAACGAAGATTATTGTAAAAAAAATCTTCCTTGACCTAATATAAGATAGATGGAAATAAATAAACCATTCTGACAGCGAATAAAACTGTCAAAATTACGAAAAATATGTCGCTAAATCCATGTTGAAAGTGTTTTACCTCACTTATCTATGACGTCTCAACCGCTCAACTATGACTCCATGTAGCCTATGACTGTATTACAAAAAGACGGGCAAAGGAAAAATCTAAGAATTTATTTTAAAAATGTAATAAACAGAAAATTCAATGTTTTGTAGTTGATTCCATTGTTTAGAAGATAGAAAAATTAAAACATAACAGAAAATATAAATTTATTGAAATTTGAAAAGTAAAATGTTTGTGTATTATTTGCAGATTCACGAATGACCTCCAGTCAAGAGGAGCCAAACACCATTCGCAAGAGTGTTGGTAAACGAATCATTGTCAAGCAAAAGGGTACAGAATTCCAGATCATTCATCCTACAAAAACAACAGTATTGAAAACCGACGCAGCTACTTCTACCGTGCCAAAGCCCTCGGGGGGCGTCTCCAAAGATACAAAGACTATGGAGACCATAGTCATCAAAGCCAAACAGAGCTCTTCTCTGCCACTGACCCCAGATCAGATAAATGCAGTACTTAAATCCTTGAAAGTGCCAGTACCTATCAAGAAGGAAGGTGAAGCAAAGGAGATACAGAGTCCAGTCAAGAGTGAGAATGCCCCTGAGGCTGGTGCCTTTCAAGCAGTGAAGAGGGCCTATGTTCTGCAGAATGGGGAACCGGAGGTGAAACGGTTCAGGTTGGAGTATCCTTCACCCCCAACGGATGAGGACGAGGTCAAGTCAAAAAAAACTTCAACTGACATCAAAGGGAAAACACCCCCTCAGAGAGCTTTAACTTCGGAATTCATGGATGCAAAAGGATCCCAAAGCTCGTCAGACGTAGAGCCGTCTCAGTCGACAGATTCATGTGACTCGGAACCATCAGGGAGTAGTAAAAACAATCAGGGACAAATTCACAGAATAGCAGTACAGTTGCCAAATCAGCCTCCTACCATATTGCAGTTACCTTTCATTCAGCGCCAACCGGCCACCTCCATATCGCACATGCAGATCATTCAGGGCGTTCCGATGAGTGCCACGGATGGTACAGGACAAGCGGTAAACTTCATGGTGCCTGTAACTTTTAGTCCTCCCCTTACCCCTAACAGTAGTTCCTCCCCTAGTCCAACTGTGTTCACTTTTGCAGGTCAACCCACTTTCGTGAACCAGCATCACCTAATTGGTCAACCACCCGTGAAATTGTCGCCGATTTCCGTTTCCATGGCCAGTGTCTCCCAGAATAGTGCTGTTCAGTCCTCCCCCATTATTCCCCCCCAGCAGATGATCACCCCCACAGAACGCCCCACCCCCACGGCTAAGTTCTTCCGGAACACCCCCGGGGGCTTGATTCCACTGTCAACCATTTCAGCTGCAGCCAGCAACTTTGCAGCCAAAGAGGGCCTGGCAACAGCAAGGAAGCTTGACCTCCCTGACCTCAGTGCTAATGACGTCTGCTGAGTCGATCTCATATTTTATTGACTTGTAGAATATTCATATTTAAGTTTAAAAAAGTATAAATGTATTTTATTGAGGGATGATTGCATGTTGTTGTTTTTGGCTGAAGAATGTGTCCTGTGCTGTCCTTTTAACTTGTAGTTAACTTGATGGAAAAAAAGTGTGTTTTAACTTATGGCTTATGTCTAATTTTATGTGGTGCACTAAGATGTAAAAAAGTTAGACCAAAGTATTTATTCTCTGCACAAGAATTGTGTATCTGCATGAAATGAATTTTTTTTTGTAGTATTTATTATGTAAAGCCTCTTATTTTGAAAACAAGCCTAGCTATATATATAATATTGTTTTTTTTTTTTGCTTAGTATGGAACTAATGATGCACTGTATTTCTGGAAAAAACTATATAGGAAAAATCTACAGAAGGAAAATGTTAATTTCGAGCTTGCATTTTATAAGGATGATAGAGGAGGTGTTAAGTGTAAAATAAAATAAAATGTGTTTTTTCGTGTACAAATGTTTGGTCCTACATGGTGTTGTAAAATCTGTAATTGGAAAGCATATATACTATTGTTGGAAGAGAAATGCATGTGTAAAAATGTTAGGGGTTTGAAGTGTAATGTGTAGAATAGGTGAATGTTAATAGATGAAATTTGTCATTAGGATGATGTTTCTGGGTCCATGCTAAATGTACAAAAGTTTGACTTGCAGTGTGTCGATATAGAATGGTAATGGGAAAATATATACCCATGTAGAATGTAATTGCGAAAAAAATTGTTGTATAAAGTTAAGCTGGGGTACATGAATTTTTTCTTGTCTGATTTTGGGTCTACGATATGCATGTTGTTTGACTAGTGTACTTGGAAGAAGGCTGTCTGGAATTTTTGTAGAACTTTCTGAATGCATTAGAGTTGAGACAAAGAAGATAATTTGTGGCAAACTGTGATACATCTTTATTGTTTAGTTTGTCAACTTTGTTTATCAATACAATGTGGTTGTAATCATTTTGATAATTTCTGTAGATTCCAATTTTGTTAAGTTTTTTTTTTTGAAAGATTTTTTTAGGCAGCATTCATAGTACCCAGTACCCGCATGTAATGCATATATGTTTTGTTTATTTTTTATTTATTTTTTTCCTAATAATAATAGTTTTATTTTTGCATGGGCAGTACTATAATATTTTTTTTAAATATATAATATTTGAGCTAGCTCAATATGTTTATTTTATTAATCAGCGAGTTGAGAGGAAGATCACATGAACACTGTGTAGGAGTTATCTTCCCTTCATCTAAATCCACACACAGTCATTTCATTCCTGGATTATAGTATTTTAATTAGCAAACAAATCAGCTCACTTTATTCATGATACTCTTTTGTTTTTTGTTAGACAACAAGTATTGTTAAGTTGTTTCTTTTATTATTCTATGTTTTAACCCTGCATCGTGCACAATTTCTTCCAATGTAATTGATTAAATTGCTGCATGAAAGTCAAATTGTACATAGATAATTGTATATAAAGGAATAATAAACTATTTAATGATACATATGCAGTGTTTCTTTCTCTTAGATTTTTATGCAGGTTTAGCACAATCTGTATTAAGATTTTTGTGATAGAGGGATGGACAGAAGGACAAATGAGATGTACTGCCCCTTCACTTTTACGAAAGCGGGGGACAAAAAGAATGAAATACAGTTGATCTTCTGTAACAAACATTGAAATCTGGAATGAAATAGTATGTGGAAGTCATTGGGAAGTTCTAACCACTTCAATTTGATTTTTTCCACAATATGTGAACTCCTGTGTATTTCGGACGTTTTCCTTGTTCCACTGAGTTTGAGATAATGAGGTATGACTGTATATAAAAATAAAACATCACAAATGTGGGATATTTTTGTAGCCTAAACATTTTCTTTTTAGGTCCCCTGAGTAAACTCAGGTGACACATTTCAATCACTTCGTCAACCGTTGTTTGCTGTGTGAACATTTGAACATTTTTTAGCTTCTCTGCAACCGCTCAACCAATTTTGGCATAAAGCATTTATGGGTAAAGAAGTACAAAAAAATTTTGAAACCCCTGCCACCGTGTGCCCTGAGGGGTAAGACAAGAACAGCTAAAATTAATGCAATCTTAAAAACCTTTACTCCTGGATATCAAGCAGTCAAACTGTTGGCTTGAATGTGATAAGCATTGAGTCCTAGATACCAAAATCACGAAATTCATCCAGGGTCAGGGATGCTCTCTGGGACAACCTGTGTGTGTGTATATATATATATATATATATATATATATATATATATATATATATATATATATATATATATATATATATATATATATATATATATATATATATATATATATATATATATATATATATATATATATATATATATATATATATACATAATTTTGTCTGGTGTCTGTCATCAGGCTGTTTTAAAGTATGACTTTCTCCAGAATGACTGGACCATTGGCTTTTATTCTCGGAAATGTTCATTGAAAGGCTGTCCTATTTTTGTTGTAGCATAGTTAATCATATAAATTGATAAATGTATTGATGAAATTAATATTTATTTTTGAAACAAAATTAAAATCTACGGCCTGGAGGGCCAGGTAAAAAAAATATTTTTATTTGTTCGGACAAATTAGAAATTCGTTCGGACGAATTACTTATTTGTTCGGACGAATTAGATATTCGTTCGGACAAATTAGAAATTCGTTCGGACGAATTAAAAATTTGTTCGGACAAATAAGTTATTTGTTCGGACAAATTAGAAATTCGTTCGTACGAATTAGTTATTTGTTCGGACAAATTAGATATTCGTTCTGACAAATTAGAAATTCGTATTTGATAAAATTAAAAATTTGTTCGGACAAATAAGTTATTTGTTCGGACAAATTAGAAATTCGTTCGGACGAATTAGAAATTTGTTCGGACAAATAAGTTATTTGTTCGGACGAATTAGATATTTGTTCGGACGAATAAGATGTTTGCACAAATTATCTTGTAAAGAGAGATATACAATTTGTTTATTCAGAGGATTCATTCCTTTTTAATATATAAATAGCTCTTTGGACTATGACATACACACGTTGCAACTAGACATGTGCTAGTCGGGTATGTTGATTGTAAACAATCGGAAATAATGGTTTTATACCAGTATATATTATAGGCCTAGTCTGCCATTCTGAAAGTATATTATCTGAGAGCCCACTAGTAAATTCAAAGGGTCATTTACACCCTCTTATCAAACATCTTTTCACTCCCATCCCTGACACACTCATAAGATTTGTCATAAATAAACATCATCTGGTTCTACCAGACCGACTTTTGCTGGTGGTGTTAAATTGGTA